CATATCACCTTCAGCTAGAAAGCCCAACTCATCGTTTCCCTTTTGCGCTGCACTCGACGGCCTGGTCTGGCGTCTGATGTTCCCAATCGGTCGTCTCAGTGTATGCTCAATCCATCTCCACTTTCCTATACTGCATATTTGTTGGGCGATAGGTTCTTGGTTAGTTAGTTGCCAGTCAGAGGCTCTTCTGGCTTATTCTTATTATTCTGGTCATCTGATCTGATCTGATCTTCAGTGACAATATCGAGTGAGCTTAGGCGGCAGCTGTTGATGTATGCTGTCTGTTGTTTGTTGGAAATGCTTTTCGTGACTCGCCAAGTCACTGAACCAACCATCACATCACATAGCAGCACTGACTTGCTTGACTGAATTAGTGTTGGAAATTGGGATCTTGTTCGTGCTTTATGCTGAGTGCAGTAAAGTGCAGTGCAGTAGATCTCCGCACTGATTTCAGCCTAATGAATGTCTGCTTGTCTTGCTGTCTTTCCGATCCTGGCTTTGACGTCCTCATCTGTGCCGCCACCACCTGCAGTTGAAATGATGGTGCCTAGGCAGGTAGGTGAAAGAGACAACTTTCTTTGGATTTCTCTCGTTGATGGTGATTGATGCTTGTCGTTGTTGGCTGGGTATCTTCATCACCTTTGTCTTAACCTCTCTTTGTTCACCTGTAGGAAGTCTTGTCTTCGCTGCCTCGACCCGCCTCCTCTACCAACTTGTTGGTTTTTGCCTGTAGATCTTCGAGTTTGTGCGACAAGTCATTAGACATAAATCATCATCGGTGAAATCAAATCTTCTGGAGTATTTTCACTGGTCGAACAGGATATGCCCCTCTTTTTGCTCCTCACAGTTTCTTGCATGATCTAGTCCAGTCAAGTCTACCACAATCAGGACGATTATCGGTGATAGTAAGTGGCCGTCTTGTCTTACTTCTGTCTTCACTTCAAAGGTGTCACTGAGCTTTCCATTGTGAATCACTCGGCCGGTGGCATCATTGGGTTGAAGGAAAATTTGATTCATTATGTAGATTTGTGGTTGGATTTATGTTCTTTCGAACGTGTTGAATCGCAACTGAACTATGATGGCTTGTCGATTGCCCGAAGTTCTACTCAACAGTTGTGGCCCATTCTCGGTAGGATAACCAGCCCATTTTTCAGTGACGTATTCATTATTGGGGTTTACGGGAGAAGCAGAAAACCCAGTGATTTCAACAAACTATCACGGGATCTTGTCAGCCAGCTAGGGGACCTTTATGCCGATGGCTTAATGATGGCGAGGTCAAGTAAAGCGTTTCAAGTAGGCTTATATTGGCCACTCTGAGCGAGAATGAACTGGAAAATCTCATGGATGTAACTACCAAAGCCTATTTCCATGATTTGAGAGATAAGATAAGCAAGCGTTTCAGACGGAAAAAAACACCGTAAGTAACTGGTAATGCGAATGTTTATTAATGCCTTCAATCATTCATTAAACTGTAGGTTAATGTTCAGTTAATTCGTATGTATGAGGAAACTGCAGTTAATTGTTTGTCTTTTACTCTCACAGGTGACGCTTGCGCCGGCTGGCGACAAATCAGACGACTGCTTTGAAACTAGCGGATAAACAATTTGAATGTACCGTATTACATTTGAAATAAACGTATATACTTTTTTAAATAATTATCCTTTTATTCGATAAACATGTGTAAGCGGAAGTTGCTTTGGCTTATGTAGAAAGCACCATTCTACAGGAAATGTAAGAGCGAAATACGGTAAGGAATATGCATACTTATGTCAGTAAATGGGTGAACACTTATGAGAAATAAACATTTTTGCGTTTGGAATTATTACTGAAAATTAGGAAAAGTGAAAAAATTAGGTGTACAAAAGGCGAATATGTGGGGTGGGAAACTGGTCTTGAGGAAAACGGGGAACGTGTGGAGTAATGAAGCGTAGGAATTGCGAAACCGTGTCGAAGAAATAGGGACAACGGGGGAAGACGTGAGGACAAAAGGGAAATCCTTAGGACAAAATGGAGACAAAGGGGGAAATCGTGGGGAAAAAATGGGGATAAGCCCACAAGTGCGGACAATGCTGGTGTTTTGTTGCATTTCCCCATTTTTTCCCCATTTACTCACCATTAGTTTTCGCCACGTATTCCCCTTTTTACCCCAATTTTTCCCCACTTTTGCCAACTTGGGCATATAGAATATAGCTGCTGTTGAATAAGGTTGATAAAGGTTTGTGTCACTAAAGCCGTAGCGTTGAAGCAGCTGCCAGCCAAATTACTTCTCAGTCGATGCTGTCGAAGGCCTTTTCAAAATCGATGAAGTTGAGGTAGAGTTGATTGCCATTCTACGCTCTGTTCTATAATGACGCGTAGTGTAGCGTTGCAGTTTGATCCGCACATGATTTGTTCTTCCTGAAGCCAGCCAACCAGCCTGTTCCAGTCGTAATTTTGAATCTAGCGCATCTTTTGGTCTCTCCAGGATGATGCGGCTTAATATTTTGCTTTGGATGGGCAGGAACAGCAACGTGATTCCTCGCCAGTTCTTACAAAGACTTAGGTCTCCCTTCTCTAAAAGTTTGACAAGGTAGCACTTCTTCTAGTCAATCGGCAGAAACTTTTCCTTCCTTCCAAACATTCTGCAGTAGTGGTGTGAGCATGTCCACTATTGTCTCTGCGTCTGTTTTCAGTGCTCTTGTTGGAATTCCATCTGATCCTGCTGCTTTCCCGGATTCCAGCAACTTTATAGCGTTCAGGACTTCGGCTTTCGTCGGAGGGCCTGTGTTCACTTGTAGTTCTACCGTTGCTGGTAGTATTTCCGGACGAGTTTCAGGTGTTGGTGGTAGTCAGCCCATCGTTTCCTGTGTTTCTTCTCTTTGGTAACTAAGCTTCCTCCACTATCTTTCATTATTTTCATCTGCGTTGAACTCTTCTCGGATAGTAACCTGGTTATTTGATATAATGTTGTCAGGCCTCTCCTACCTGCAGCGTGTTCTGCTTCACTTGTCAGTGTGTCGTGAAAGTGTATTTCGTGTTTCCACGCATTCTTCTTCACCTCTTAGTACTGTGTTTTGTAGGTTGTATTCAGTTCCTCTCTTCATCCATGCACTGCACTGGTTCATCTTCTGCCTCACCATATTTTGCTCCCTGCTCTATCAGCTTCCATGTGTCGGTGGAGATGCATTCCTCGTCTTGTCTTGTTTCTTCTTCCTCCCTAACGCGTTTATGTAGGTTCCTTTCCACATAGCTTTCAGAGAGTTCCAGTGTTCTTTCAAGCAGGTTTCCTCAGGGATGTTGCCTAATGTTTCCAATTTTGTCCTGATAGCTGACTGACGTGAAGATGTCATTTGTTCTGGGTGCTGAACTTGAACTGTGGTCTATCACCAACTTCTTTGACGGCTTTCAACTTGATTTTGAAGTTAGGTTCCTTGCACCAGATAGTGACTGGTCTGAACCTACATCTGCTCCTCTTCTTCATCCTATCTTCTGTCCAGTAGGCTGCATCTCCACTTTCTTCACATTGAAATGAAGCCTATCTGATTTTTAGTGTGTCCTGGTGTCTGGTAAAATCCATGTCACTGCCTTGTGAATATCTTTGTGTTTGTACACACTGCCTCACCTCCAATCACCAAATCGTTGAATGAGCAGAATTCTGCAAACAGTTCTCCATTCTCATTCATCATTTCATCGAGTACTTCTCTACCCATGATCAGTTCTCTTCCTGTGTTGTCTGCTCCCAATTTGGCATTCATGTCACCCCACCCACTAGAATTTTGATGTTGCTAACTGGAGTGAGGTTTTGTCCTGTACTGATTACAGTTGTCAATAGAATTCCTCCTTCTTCTTTTCATCTGCATTATTTGTAGGTATGTAGCGTAGCATTGAATGATTGTGACTTTCTTTCCTTTTGAGTTGAATCTTGCTGTCATCAACCTGGAGGAGACTGGTTCCCACTTCATGAGAGCCTTCGATGATCTCGGAGACATCATGATAGCCACTCCAAAACTCAGTGAGCTAGTGGTTGTCGTCTGGGTGACAATATCGGAGTAGATTATTGACTCGCCACCTATGGCGCCGCCGTGATATCCGTTTGTCTATTCAGGGTCGCGTGTACTGCACAGCGGTCCACTCTGTTCTACTGTATGGCTGTGAAACATGGCCATTGAAAGTGGAAGATATAAAAAGGCTTCAGGTGTTTGACCACCGTTGCCTTCATAGTATAGGACGTATTCTGTGGTGTCACCACTTGAGTAATGCAGAAGTCAGGTGTAGTAGAGTTTTAGGGTCCTATGTTGATAATGATTGATTGAGATTATTGACTCTGCAGTTGACAGTTGGGAGAGTCCACTTCTATTCCACCTGCTTTCGCAGATTCCAAGCACTTCTATGCCATACCTCTTTTGCAATCTGGGCAGCCTGCCAACCAGCTTCAAACATTGTGTGGACATTCCATGTCCACATTCTCACTTTCGCTTTCATCGAGAGAGAGAAGACACATCGGCCAATTGGCTTCCTGAAAGCTTTCATCAACCGGCACCATTCCGTCTCCTCAATTCCAGCTAGGAATAGGTTTATTTTTGTCTTTGATATTTTCTTTGTGCTTTGATATTTCCTCAGCTATTGGATTTGTTTTAGGGGGTAGGGTTGGTAGCCCTATACCCAACCTTGCATCTTTATACGGGCTTAGGACCGGCTAGTAACTAGCTACCCAGGCGGAGTTAAAATCTCGTAGCCGTGTCAAACGATAAGAAGAACTATGGAGAATAAACTGCATCCGAAACGCCATTAAGAAAATAATACTATTCTAAACTGCACCAGTTATCACTTCGAATTCCATGTTATCCTTATTTACTGACTGGTTAATCTAAGCAATCTTATGCACGGGAACCATGATTATTTCTGAACAACAGGCAATCATTCCTAATATACTGCAATTCCAATTATATGAAAAAAAGCAGTCTCTAATAAAAATTTAATTGTAGTATGTATGTACAGAAGGTCAGTGCTATCTAGGTGTGTTATTCAGGAACAACCACAGTAGCTTGTTGCTTTCTTCCGCCAGATTTTAAACGCCTTATTCGTTGTTGCTCTCTTCGCCTAACAGCGGCACGCTTTTCAGCCATAGCACGTGCAATCTTAGCATATCGTTTTCGTTGAACCCTACAGAAAGATATGTGAAAAAACGAGAATAAATTGTTTTTCCCAAGTACTGAAAGAGTTTATTACATACATGACGAAATAAAAATTTTTAAGAGTAAAAACAGCTGAAAAGCTACTTTTTCTTCTTTCATTCTCAGCATAACTCTCAAACAGTAGACAGTGTATGAGAAGAGATGATAACTGAATACCTTAAATTATGTATGATAGGAAGCCACGTACTTGCCATTGGTTTTCAGCAATGCAATCTAACACAACATCTAAAATATTCATGTAAGACAAGGGGATTTAGTAAACAGAAGTAAACATCTTATCATGCTAAACAGCAGCTGTAGCTTTGGCAGCAAGAGTGAATCACACCTATGTATATAACCGTCTCCAGTTAGTTTCTGGAATAACATGTTTCAATGGCGCACAATTTCTTCTATGCCTTAGGAAGATATTCACAGACCTTACAGCTCACTGTTGGCAAATAGTACCTCTTAGTTCAGCAAAAGTAGGCTAAACTCATTGAGTATCCTCCATCCTTTACCTTTGACCTAACCTCGAAATCCCCCAATGTATAATTCTCATAAATATAACCGAAGTTCGAAAAACAATGGTGATCAAATGTTTGTAACATTTCAATGTATCTAACTTGAATTTATCTACTGTCACACTCATAGTAGGAAAAGTTAAACTCATGATTACAATTTATGCCTGAATCGCATTCAGGTCACATTTACAGTGGGTTGATAATTTTAGCATGAGGCCATTAAAATGGCATCATGAGATCATTTATCATTTGCAACTATTCAAGATAGCTGACGCAGGAAATACAATTGAATACCCACTTCCCTAAAATGAGACCATATGTAGGTATATCTGTATAGCTAAACAAAACCACTTCGAATTTCGAATCGAATAAACGCCTAGTGGAAACTGAGTCTTTGATTTAATATCTTTTTATAGACTGAATTTCCTTAACAACCTCACGTCAAAGTCAGACGAATCGGTGCGTCGTTTACCCACTGAGAAATAGCAACTTTAACTAGTTACACTGTTCCCCAATGACTTGAAACCAGTCTCATAAATTGTACTGGTGAAATACAACTATGTTCTGACATTCCAGCCAGTTGTTTTAGACATTAAAGAGCTTCGTATGATTGAAAATTCACTAAGGTAGCATCGGATGTGAACAGGCATAAAAATGCCTTAGAATAATACTGCCACTAAACACCGTTATATTTACGCTTATTTACACAAAGATACCACAGCCACATATATTATCAAATTAGGTAAAGCTGAGTAAGCAATGAACTTTGCAATAATTAAATCATTGAATGAAAAACACTGACTGTTTCAATAGTATACACGAAGTAACTTGGAAATGTGTTTTTCGGAAGTTCACTAACATAAACGCATAAAGATTTGTCGATCGATTTCAGGTTGCTATTCCCCATGGAGAAATATTAGAAACCTAGGTACACTGGACAGCTGTTTCGTCCTAGTAGGGAACTCCTCGGCAGTGTGCACCCAGGACCTTCAGGCTCCGCGCCCAGTGTATATTACCATTGAGCCACTGAGTCAGAATTCGATGGTCCATATTTCCTACTTCTGTCAATTCACGATAAATATTCATTCTTTTTCCAGTGATAGGAAAAATAAATCCGTGGGTTCGCTATGAATTATATTGGAAAACAGTGATGATCCCTATAATACACATTTATATTACCATGATCATTTAATCGTGTGATTGATAAAATATTAAGAAGCTATAACTAAAAAACGAAGAATTAAAGCGTTCTTGCGTACGTAAAGATAGTAAATATTAACACTAATGAGATAAACGTGGATTGCAAAAACTTACAGTTTACAACAACAACAGTAAAATATATTCAACAACATATAGACGAATAATACCGTATTAAACAGATTACACGAATAAACTTACTTCATGATTTCAGCATTAGACAAAAGTTCATCTACAAGAGTTTTTCCTCGTTGTTTACGTGGTAATCGGTCATAAAAACTTCCTGGATCATCTACTACTACACCCCTCTAAATGAAGTAGAACAATAAACGGTAAAAAGATAGTTACAAGATATTCAAAAAGACCATTTACGTAGTGCGAAACTCAGGGAACGACAAACAGAATCTTGCACAATTACATACTCTCCATAAATGTGGATAACAGGAAGTGAAAATGTGACAAAGCTTCCTATGAAGATGACAGTAAATCCTTTAAAAGCCTATTCTTTTCACCTAAGTGGCCTTTTAAAAAAGTAAACACATTTACTAAAGTTGACAACACAATCCGTTTGAGAGCTCTAGAGCCTAGCCTCTTTTCTTATTTTCCTCTATGAAATAAACTCTCAGCAACTACACACACGTTCACGCAGAAGGTGAGCGTTAGTGAAACTACCTGTCCAAACCTCAATAAGAAGAGTGAGGACTGAACATGACTCATCGGTTAATTGTGAAATACTCAGACCAATAAGTCACAGCTCCTAAGAACAGTTTTCATTCTTCTTCCATATTGACGTACGAAGTGATGTGATTGATATATGCGGTACTCATTTCAGTAATTCTAGTAAGTCAGGCTTAAAATCTTATCAGAAAGTCGGTTAAAATAAATATGAAACCTTGAATCACCGTATGACAACCTAAGTTATCACAGATGAAAGGTAGGAAGATGAAGGGTAAAGGAATAGGAGCAAGTGTAATCAAACTCTCAAAACGTCATAAAAGAAAAGGCACAAAGCAAACAACTGATTGTGATATGACACTGAGGATGGAGATAGTGTGTGAATGCATTTGCATTACCGATTCTCATCCAGAGGTTTCAATCACCAATTTTCAGTGTTACGCGGACCTCAACTTACAAATCAACATCGCTATACACAACCCAAGCCAACAGTTGCTAAGTCCATGCACTAATCCAACGTTTTGGTCTGGCTCCCGTAACCCTTTCTCCAAACCTGGCTATAAGAGCACCACGTCAATGATCTGCTGTCTGGATTAGTCTACCCTCTTCTGCACTGAAATCACCTGATGCGACAACTACAGTTAAACGGCTTCGTTTCAGTAGCTGGCTAGACATTTTTCTGTGGAACTCATCCTTCCCTTCATCCCGAATTCAGCCGCTAAGAAGCGATCACAAAGAGATAACTGTAAGTCTCCCTATTCCTTTTAGTGTTCACTGCACTGTCAGAAGGACTCATATATCTGATTCCAATACACTAGCTAACACTTCAGGTAATCTAACCAAACCATCCCCAAACACTCCTCAAATATATTTGATAATGAACCACCTACAACTGCTACGTCTTTTCTTTCAGGTCATTTATGCTCTCTTCAAATTTCCAAAGAGTTTGAGAATATGTCTCAATATTTCACTCAGGATCCGACTGGAAAGCAGACAACCAGAGAGTACCTGGAGCCAGGTGAACGTTTCCTTGAACTGTTCCACACATCCTTCTAGTCATCTCTGAGAGTAAATAGCAGACACTTCCTTCTCCCCTATCATCTGCCCCAAACTGACTTCTTTGCCTCAGTTTCCTAGATGCGTGAATGACTGCCTACTGTCGCTGATCACTACTAACTTCCGCGTCTCAATAGAATTCCTAAGCAAAATAGGGCTTCTACATGGAGCCTTCTGCTTGGTAGTCGAATACTTATCCTCATGGATCACATTCCCACTTGCTGTAAGACATTTATATCAATGAATTACAACGCAGTACGTCCCCAACTTGACATTGCTTGCTGTCTTACAAAATGTTTTCTTCACCACGGCAAAAAAACTGTGCAGATTAAAATTTTGGAATGAAGAACTTTGAACTCATTTTTATCTTTTCATGCTCACTTGCCTATTAAAGATTCTCAAAACTGGTACGATTAGCGAAATTATCAAAGCAACTGTAAACTACAGCCCGTAAAGTTCATCTTGACATAGAATCCAAATAGGTCCGCGGAATGATTATCAGAAAACATGTGCCTAAAGTTTCAATGTTTCCCCATGAAAATGAAAAAGAACCCTGTTTGTCAGCGACCACATGAAATGAGTTTGTCCTCTTTGTTTTCTTAAACTATCTTTAAGAACGAACTGTGACACCTAAAGGTAAGATTTCGCGTTCGAAAAGATTAAGTGGAAGGAGAATACTTAAGGCCTTTAAACGTATGAAAGCTCTAGATTTTGAGTCAATTAAATATGCCAGCAGCGATTTAGCCTAATTATTTAAAACTATTTTAAGAGTAGATCATCGGAATACCATTTGGTCGTTTGTATAAATATCTGTCGTCAAATATTTAAAAAAACTGGAAATATAAAAAGAAAACAATAAACACTTGTATTTCAGAGTTTGATCGTAGCTTATAGTCAAATATAATTTGAAAGGTGACAGGTTCGCAAAAGGCTTTGCTTGAAAGCAGTAGATAGGTGACAAGTAACAAGTGGCCCAAGACTTCTCAAAATCATAACTACACAAAAATGTTCCTTTGTTATCAAAAGTGGATCTTTACTTGGTACAAAAACACTAGGTTGATTACTTAATGTGGTTGGATGGACAAAACAGATTCATGTAACCCGGTAACTAAGTGTGCGTTCTTATACTTCAACCCACATAACCTAGGTAGGATAGTGAAATATGCAAAGCAGTGTTCAAAAACTCGACAGTAATTTAAAACTATTAGTTTCAACGCGATGACCTATTTTAAAAATCACACATGATTAGAACGAAACTTAATAAATAAAAACCAGTCAACAGAAGAGTATTATTTCTGAATGAAGGTTTACCTGGAAGTAAGAAGACTTGCCATCTGACTTTCTAACATGTGTGTCAGATGAAATCGCTCGGCGTAACCTAATCAATTCCAGATCATCACGGTCCTCTTCGGTGACATCAGGTCTCGGCAAATCAAACCAATTTGATAGCTTGCTTTTGCGTTCAGCCTAAAAAAAAGAAAATGCAACTGTTTGATGAACCTCTGAAATATCCTTTTATACCTGATAATTACAAACAAAAGGTCTGCCTTTAATCAATAAATTAAAATGCAGAGCTGATAATAAATAACTCCTAACAACAACAATACTATGATGTTTCACCTAGAACGGTTCTTTTGAATTTACAGACAGACGGACGAAATCAACGGAAAACTTTGTACAGAAACGCATCGGTTAAAGCTGTTATACTTCACAGCACCATGCTAACAACTGAGAAGAGAAGAAGTAATAGTGAAATAGACACAGAAGTGTATGTGAGGAAAATGAATTTGAAAATTGAGGATGTCGAAGATGTTCAAGTTACAGAAGGAGACACTAGAGTCAATTCATCTGCACTATTGTGGTCGATTTCAGGCTATGTCATCAAGTCTACACCTTCCTATATGACTCATACCAACAGTTAGAGACTCCATTGACTAGTGCCGCACCTAGTTTTGGCCATCCTAAGCTTTCTTTCAGCTTACTTCGGCTAACACTGCATGTCGAGGTAGGCAGTGGTTTGGCATACGCAACACATGTCGACATCACCTCAGCTGGTGAGGACTTGCAACATCATCAAGTGATTTGTCTTTCTTGTCTAATATCCTTCATCTAGCCTGGGAATTACTCATACGCTACTTCCACCATGAGTGAGTCACACTGCGAAAACATATGTTCGAAAACCTGTAATCTTTTCACATCTTCTAGTCCCAGTTAACACTGGAAAATCAGTAATCGTCACATAACGGAATCATGTCTACAAAATACGTCTAAATGTACAACGAAGTCATGAAAAGTGAGGCAATACAGGCGTCAAATGACATCTACACGTAGACGATTGCAAGGGAAAAAGTGGGAAATTATTAGCATATATAGATTCATCTACATACAACTTATTGTACCAAGAGTGACAGCATTACCAGACACCTAAAAATGAGGCAGGTGAAGGCAACTTTGATCATGTGCCTGATATTTCCAATGCCTAGACTACTGGCAGCTGCATTGAATATCCGCAAAGTCAAATCTTGATCCAATGAAGCACCTTGTGTAGAATTCCATATAACGATCCTCCCCCAGTTGTAGAACACAAACAACCACTAAACTACAAACTGATATGGCTGAAATTAGTAAGGACTCTGAGTAAATAAGCCACGATCATCGATTTTGGGAATCCACTGTAATTAATTTTACAAGACCGAAAATGGTTCTCTTAAAAGGAATCATCTATAATTAGTTAAATATCATTCACAACGAAAATGCCTAAATCTGAGAAATCGGTGATTAATTCCTATCCATTATTTCTTTTCAGTCTTACTAATCCAATCACTATTTAGTAACTCAACATTTTTCATCTAAATGATCATGAGAAACCTATTTAAATTTGTTTGGAGAAAAACATCTCCATATATTTTTAATCACTATTGTTCATAATAGTTTCGGTATTACGAAAATACTGTTTCTGATTATACTCTTCAATTACTGCTTTGTAATTCATGTCTTTAAAAAATAAACTATGAACGGTACCACTGGAAAAAAACTGTTTCAGTCACGTATGCTCACGAAGTACAACAATTCATTCAATTGACGGAAGTTGAGAATTTCATTTGAAGAGCGTAAAAATACACATCCATCTATGACTAAATTTTCTTACAAATGCTTAAAATAAGTGACCTTGAGTATCCTCGAACATGTATAAGGAAGCACGCTTTCTTAAGAGCATCAGACAAATGACTTGAATGTTTCAGAGGTAAATCATATCTGGTTGAAAATGACGGTGGTCAATTGAGTCATAATAATAACAGTACACAGTGGCTCAATTGTTATGCGGTTCACGCGTGTGATAATAGCAGTAAACCAAGATTCACTAAAAATTTGATTCCAATTAGTATCAGAGCAAGAAACTTTCAGTTCGTCGGTATCAAACAAGCTTCTGATCCTAGGAAAACTTAACTGAAGAGGTGCCACAAAGACAAACCTTAAATACTAATCAATGGCATATCAGCAGCTAAAGATTTAAACGACATCATGACTACGAGCAGCTCTTTATTTCTTTGTTGTAAATTATCCAACTATGCTTGAGACTAAAAGATGATCACTAACGATCACCACATGCTTACGAAAAGGAATAGAACTGACATGAATTTTCAATTACCTATAAATTAGTGTCGAAAGGATAGTCACAAAATGTCACAGTATTAATACTGTACCCAGCGATACTGACTAAGGGTCCGAGTTGCCACATTTCATATCAGGAGATAACGGTAGGAGGCAAAAAGGTGAAGCATAAGAAAATAAGGAAGAAAGCAATCAAAAGTTATACGAAGTTATAAAGACACAAGAAGGCATAAAACAATAAAGGAGTTCGATATGGTGACTGAGACATGGATAATGTGGGGATGCATCTATCATGCAGCTGCTGCATCATATCATTTATTGTCCCCAACCATCCATTTCGTTGTCCCACGAGCCTCCATTACCTGGATTAGCCTACTAACTTCTGCGCTGAAATCACTCGCTACAACAAATCATATTTGAACGTGATTGCTATCATCCCTTTGCTCTGCAAAGATTTTGAATGTAACACATAAGTGCCTTTAGATATAACTTAACTATAGGACTTGTGCAATGAAATTCTTTTTCTTAATTTACCACATCTCAACTTTGGCTTTCAGTGGGCGGCTAGATAGCATTCGCGAGAACCTGTATTTCCCTCCATCCGAACCTCAGTCAGTGAAATAGTAAGCAGAGATCACAAAGAGATGAGGGTAGGTTTAGCTATTTCTTTCAGTCCTAACTGCACCATTCATTTGACCAGCGCACAAATGATCAATAACTGCAATCCAATCGACAGTGCACTTTCTGCCTTAGGACTGAAGGCTATAACTATGCACCCGTAAGACCGCGAGAGCCAGCCAACAAACCTCCAGAAACTCGAAGAGAGGACTTTGCAAATTCACCATAATGGTTTAGCGAATAAACATACTACGATGTAGCACGCGTCTCATGAACACAGACTAGGTCTATGATCTTCGATACCAGTGTTTTGCCAAGAGGAGATTGTTGGCCGATTTGACGAAATATGTGGACGTTTAAAACTCCGATGTGTAGTTTGCAGTTGTATTTCAGGAGATCACGGATTTTATTTTTTGAACCCAAATAGTTATCAAGAGCTATGGAGCTGGAACAAATTGAAGATGACGTAGAATTACTAACAAGCAATATGCAAAGAAAAATCAGAAGATACAGATGTGAAAGGTTGGTAATGATCTGAAGGAACTTCAGTGCTGACAGAAATATGCAAGCAGATGGTACTTCGCGGCTGTCAACACCATGGAAGGTTACTTCTTCTTGAAGGCACTTAGAGAAGAAAATGGATTAGTAGTAGTGGTAAGTGATCGCAAAGTTCACAGGACATTTGCTCAGAGTAACACAAGCCATTTTTAGAAGTTCTAGTCTGGTTTTTTAAATTCAGCTAGAACACGCATCCCGATAGCACCAAAAGACTGAAGGATAGGAAGAAGTGTTATCTTTGTGACCTATCCCATATAACCTCTCTTCACATAGGAAAAGGCAGAATCCGCGTGAATATATGGTCGTGTATGGTAAACAACTTAATGTTGTCACACTCTGTTTAGTCACCAATACGAATACGCCCTCAGACCCCCAGCATAAGGTAGCTATTTACACTATAATAGTAATTTCGTTTTGTCATACCATCATCATCATCATCATCAAAAACATCAACATAGGACCAGACATTACTGCGTAACGGTCCGAGTTGCCACACCTCATATCAGTACATCAAGTAAAAAGGTAGTGAGGTCAAGGATGAAGATAGGAGGATGCACGAGAAGAAAGAAAGGAAAAAATGATAAAATGATGAGATTCGATATAGTGTCGTTAAGATGAGGATGAGGTGTGCATACATCTGCGCCAGTGACATCGGTTCTGAGCCATGTCATCTAGAATCTTCAACCACTGGGTCCTCTTGTCCCGTGGACCCCAACTGGCTAGTTTCCATTGCCGCACATGGTTCAAACTAACAGTTATAGACTTCATACATTGATGCCATGTATTAGTCTGGCCACCTCAGGCCTTTTTCCAGCCTGGACCCACCTCAGCCAACATTGTGTGACAAGGTAATCGGTGACTAGGCATACGTAGTACGTGTCCCAACCAGCCATCTCAATCGATGAAGGTTCATAACCTCGTCAACTGGCTTACCTCTTCTCCCTAAAACTATACACCTGACTTCTGTATTACTCACGTGGTGGCACTACGAAATACGGCCTATACTATGAAGGCAACGGTGGTCAAACACTTGAAGCTCTAACATGCCCACAAGCGTTCGAGTAGACAGCCCTAAATAAGGTGATGTACTTACTAGGCACGCCTTTCAGTGACAGACATTGCCATAAGACTTCTCGATCAACGGAGTCAAATGCCGCCTTCAGGTCGAGAAATACAGCTATTGTCGGGCGTCTGTAAGCATGCCTATGTTCCAGGACCTGGCGCAGTGTGAATATTTGGTCGATACATCCACGGCCAGGTCTAAAGCCTGCCTGGTTTTCTCGGGCTTGCTGTTCCCGAGCTCCACTCAGGCGTCGGAGAATTATAGAACTTAGGATCTTAGACACTATGTTCGTCAGGCTGATTCCTCTGTGGTTATCACAAGAGGACTTCTCGCCTTTCTTGAAGACTGGGATGATGAGTGACTTAGACCAGTCGGAGGGGATCGTATTTGATTCCCATATACTGGCTAACACTTCCGTTAACCTGACTAAGAGCACTCTACCACCATTCTTGTATACCTCAGCAGGTAGTCCGTCTGGTCCTGCTGCCCTTCCTCGTTTCAGGCTACCTACCGCTTTCTCAACTTCTTCTAGTGTTGGGGGACCTGTCTCTATGTCCCATTCAGGGTCCGACTGGATAGCGGGCAGCGCAATGTGGCTGGAGGCCAGTTAAACTGTTCCTCGAAGTGTTCTGCCCATCGTTCCAGTCGCCTTCCCTGCGAGTGAATCGCAGATCCGTCCTTCTCCGCTATAGCCTCACTAACTGTTGTTGACCATTTCCCCCCAGTCTCCTTAATAAGTCTAAATAACTGTCTACTGTTACCGATCGCCGCTGCCTTTTCCATCTCTTTAGCCTTCGTTGCCCACCACTGTTCACGATCGTTGCGCAGACTTTTCGTCAGTCTATTTTTAAGTTGCGCTCGCTCTTCATTGTACTCAGAGCCTGCAGGGATGCATTCACGTGCATCCATTAGTTTGGAAGAAGCTGCTGATATCCACTGGCTCTTTTTAGCCATTATTTTGGAGTCGGCTACAGTCTCCAGTGCTGCTTTTACAGCAGACTGAAGATGGCACCAAGCTTCTTCTGGATGAGTGACAGTCTTTTGTTCCGATAACTGCCTAGCCAACTTCTCACTGAACACGGCTTTGGTGTTTTCGTTGTCCAGCAGAACTCGTAGTGGTTTTGTTGCCAAATTTTTTCTACGTCCATTGAGACGCAGGCATATACGTGCTCGGACCAACGCATGATCGCTGTCCAAACACGTACTCCAGAAGGAGCGGCAGTCTTCCACCGATCCTCTCCAGCGATGACTAATAGCAATGTGGTCTATCTGTGTCCATCGCTGAGTTGAGCTCGGTGGACGCCAGGTCAGACAGTGCCTTTCTTTATGTCTGAAATTTCTGCTGGCTAAAAATAGGCGGTTATCTGAGCATAGTTGTAATAGGCGATCACCGTTATCTGTACGTTCAGCTGGGATTCCGAAAGTGCCACCTAAGTGCCTTTCTGCCTCACTCAGTCTACCCACCTGTGCGTTGAGGTCACCTGCAACAACCACCACGTCCGAACGTTTGGCTTTCGAGAGGAGGTTAGACAGTTTATGGTAGAACTCGTCCTTCACTTCATCCGAGCTGCAGTCAGTGGGTGCGTAAGCAGAGATTACAAAGAGACAACGGCGAGTCTCACTATTCCTTTTAGTTCTCACTGTGCCGTTCAGCCTCATAGCGCAGAGGCGACTATCAACTGGGATCCAGTCTAGTAGTGAGTTTTCTGCCCTGGTGCTTAATGCTATACCTACACCTGCAAGACCACGAGAGCTAGCTATCGAATCTCCAGAAACTCGAAGGGTGAATTTTGCGGATTCACCAGATTGGTCAGGAGAGGTCAGGTGAATAACCACACTTGGGTCCTGTATGCGTGTCTCACAAACACAGCACACATCCATGCCCGAGTTGCTAGAGTCTTTGCCAACGAAGCCTGTTGGCCAATTTGACGGAGGGTGCGGACATTGAAGGCTCCAATATGTAATTTGGAGCGTGGTTTAAGGAGACCAGTGATGCTGTTCTGTGGACTCAGATCGTTGTCGAAGGCTGCAGAGGTAGGAGAAATTGAAGATGATGCAGCATCATTAATTAAGAGACGTGAAGGAAGATTAGAAGGTAATGATGGAGGAGGTGGATAGCAGTCAGAAGAAACTTGGGTGCTGACAGAGTTGTGAGGGCGGTTGACACTTCCCGGCTGCCCACACCGTGGAAGGCTATTTCTTCTTAAGGTACCTGAAAGAGATTTGTGTGACCGCAGAGCCCATCGGACATCTGCTTGAGGCCTGTCACACCCAGCCTTTTGAGTATGATTATTTTGAACTTTTGTATTTTTGGGGCCGGATGGTCGAAAGGAAACGACAAGTGAACCAACACCGCCGGCCCGGCAGACCGTGGGGCGTGGTGGAGTGTGTTATTTTTGGGGCCGACCTTTTCTAACCCCCCCTTCCACTGAGAAGGCAGCATCAGCATGGCACTGCTGGTCATCCAAGGGAAACACCTTACTGCTGTCACACCCCATCCAGCTAGCAGCAGTACGACTTCGCCCTCAGACCCCCATCATAGTGTAGCAATTTACACTATAACGGTAACTGCTTTTCGTCTAACCACTACCCAACAGACCTTTCTGGTATGGTAGGACCTCGAGGGAACAAGCGTTCCACCAGCATAGCTCGTTGGGTCATTGTGATATGCAAGCTCGATCACCATATCAAGGTAGCAGCTATCGGCTGAGAAACGCCCTGTCGCCTATATTCAACCAGACTCAAGATATACTAGTAAGATCAAGAAACCAACATCACTAGTGTTATCATTAAATCCTGTCTTTACGATGCGGTCAGACCTCAGGTAACAACAGTGTTGATAGATAATCTGATACCTGTGCATCGAATAAACCACCTGGTTGGAACATTATGTAAACCACTTTCCACCAGTTTGTGACTGCAGGAATTGTTGTAACTAGAACAAAGTCATAGGTTTACTTCATGAGATGCGAAGTGAATGAAGATCAAACGCGTTTAGTTTTCAAAGAAAATAAGGAGGAATTATTAACTTGAATTGATATACTGTTAAGGTAAATAAAACTAAAATCATATTTATCATTAAAACTGCACTAACTACCGGCTAACCCTGGACGGCCTATTCACTAGTCGGCTGAAAGTAATCGGCAGGAAGCCCTAGACCCAGGTCTCGAACTTCTGACAACTTGTCAGTAGGGCGTACCTACAACCCCGAGGGAACTGATGTCCCCTGTTAGACAGGAACCCACGTCACCCAGTGTTGCAGTCAGCAAGGTTACCAATGAACTAGTAGGGGTGAGACTCCCCTCCTGTAGAACTGAATTACATACGCTGATTGGTCACTGAAGAGCAACCAATCTCATGTTGTCTAGTCTTGATTGCTTAACGAATTCCGTCGGTCATTTCTGCAATATGGCCACCAAGCTAGGAAGCTTACCACCGACTGCTTTCAACCAACATCCACCCAAGTGCATCGCGATGGTGAGTCTCCTAGCATGGTCATATTGCAAAATGATCGGAAGAATTCGGTCAGCACTCAGGACTAGAAAACATAAGATTGGTTTGCCCTCCAGTGATCAATCGATCTAGGCTATTAGTTACTCGGAAGTCGAATTAGAGCTACTAACCGTGGTCATTTATTTTCTCAAACAAGTAACTGTCTTATTTCATAAACATTTTGATTTGAGTTGAATATTACTCGATAATATGTACGCAAACAGTGGGCTAGTAGTTCAATTTTTTATTTTATTCTGTTGGGTCATAAGATAGTCACTGGTTAACCATAGTAAGTCAGTCATATCAAAGTTGTGAGCCAAGTATGCAACTTCGATCGCATAGTCTAGTGTATTTTAACCTAAAATTGCTTCATTATCGTAAATTCGATCTACAACCTTTAGAGCATCGACCTTGACCTCAAGAATATGCATGCAAAAAGTAATCAACAAAACTCATGGTTGTATGTACCTACCCTGCGGATTCGTTTTAATTCTCGTTTGCTGTGGAGACCAGGTACCGATGTTAGGTAGTAAGGGTTCTTTGAGAAAAGAAAAGAAGCAACAATATTACACAGAAAATAATCAAGTGATATCAAAATTACAACGACATCCGAAAGAACAAACAATATTCCTGTTTCAGGTCCTACAGTTATATTTCCATATTGTGTAATTTCGTGTCAATAATGGTGAGATTTCCTTTAACAGTTTGTGAATAACACTATACAGTTAGAGAATTATCTCCACAAAAGTCTTATGTGAACGGTGATATCAGAATGTAATTAAAAATAATTGATTCTCCAATCTGTAAAAGGACGAGACAGACACGCAGTTTGCAAGCGAATTCCCGAAAGATTCAAAGAGATGTGCACACAATTTTTCTGGCGTTTTATTAGATATAGCATGACTTGAACCAGTCTGAAGGTTCGGAATTTCGTGAGAGAAAGCCATCTCAGTCACATAGTAACAATACATAATTCGAAAATCTATAAAGTCAAATAACATCCAGTGCTATAATTCAGCCTAGAAGTAGAACGTTTCAAATCTAATCTAGTTGATTGTAGCTACCAATATAAGAGCAGAAAAAATAATTGTAATATTATTTTAACTAGGAAACATAAGGAAGCTAAGTAATACTTCTGTGTGATGGGAAATTGTTTATTGTGATGTCTGATAATGGAATGGAAGTAGTTGTTTTTGATAAGTGCGATTATATAAGCAAGGTAAATGATATACTGAATTATATGATAAAACCTCAGAAATTGGACATCAAAAATTACCTGAATGATTAAATAAATTCCTGATGAAGCCGGAAGAGAAGCATATAATTCCATAAAGCATGTATGGCGTACTAAAACTAATGGGTACTTACACACTGAAGCTATGGCCTAAGATACAAAAACCAGGAGGATCGTGAAGACTAATTGTTGATATGCGAAATTCCCCTTATCATGCTCTGACAGATACGACAAAATCAACGTAGGACCTCACACATAAATGTAGCGGCTCAAGTTGCCACATTACACAGTAGTATACAAAGAACAGGTGGACAGAAAAGGTTATGAGAGAATAAACAATCTGAAGACAAAAGGTTAGTGTGAATATTTAAGCTTTAGACGATTTCAAGGAGTGAATACATCTGCACCATTGTGACTAATTTTCGGCCATGTTACTTAGACTCCTCAGTAACTGGTTTCTATCACCTGGGGACTCCCCAGCTAGGTAGTCTACATCTCTCCCACACGGCTCAGACCAACAATCAGAGAGTTTATCAACTGGTGCCATGTCTTGGTCGGGCCACCCTGAACACTCTTCCAACCTAGTCCAACTTCGTCTGACATGCCACGTTCAGGCAAGCGGTGGTTCCGTATGCGCAACACATGTCCAAGCCATCTTAATCAATGATGGTTCACAACCTCATCGTCGATTTGACTGTCTTGACCAAGAATTCAATTTTCCGTGTTCGTGAACGTCTCCCACTGTAGTTAAGCAAAGGTGTGATGAAGATCACTAACAGCTCTCTATTACCACATTTATTTCAAACTAACCATAGACTGGATATGAATAAGTCATTCTCTATTGTTTACCGGGTTCCCATCAACTCGCCAAAAGATCCCCGGCTCCGAATGCTTTAAATTACAGAAGCAGTGGCATTCAGGATTAAGCAACCTGAGTTATGTGTTCAGAGAAAGCAGGTTTGCCGCTACAACTACCATGGTTTCATTCGGAATTCACAAATTCCTAAGCATCCTACCCCAAGGAGCCTAATATTCAACTCCCACATTGCAGATACCATCTTATAGTAATAGTCTGAAATAATTTAATCACATCCTCTTGGCTTATTTTGTTCCCTAACATGAGTAACAATTTACTATGCTAGTAACTCTCAAATTATCTATCTGTTTTATGGCATCTTAAGTTTGTGTATACCCTCCTATTGTTTTTATTAAACTTTGTTTATCCGATTTTACACATACTCCACCACACATTTTATCTCCCCTTCTACTTGTGACGGGCTTTACTCGCATAACTTTCATCATCGAAGTTAATATGATTAATTTTCACTTCATAGTATTACATGAGTCGTATAGTCGTATCATGATCAGTTATTTTGAATTGAACTCCATTAATAATTTATTCTGAAATCACCGTTCACATAAGACTTTCTGAAAAGAATTCCCAAACTGTAATATTATTCACAAAATGTTAAAGGTAGTCTCAGTAATGTTGACGTAAAATTACACAATATGAAATGGAACTGTAGGACCTGAAGAGGTTATTATTTATTTCCATACAATTTTCTTTTGAATTGTAATCGAAGTTTTCAAAATTAAAATTTCAATTGACTTTATAAGAATGACACACTTTCAGGACCAAATACTTCTAGAATAAAATTAACTAATTAACTGTCTCATTAAATAAAGTTTTCCACGGCAGTACATAGTACAACTGGACACAAGGTTTGAATCCTGCTGCAGAATTTCTAGTTAGATTAGCAGGTCAGTGACTAGGAAAAAATTATCAACATATTCGTAGGTTATACACAAATATGATTTCCTAGCCCCATATACTGATGGGTACGACAGTATATTTTGTGGTAGGTTACTAATGTACTATGTGATGAATAATGACGAAATCGAACTCATAACCACACATAAAAATACTAGCGCTTACCAGTTTCTGTGTGCAGAGTTTATAATTATTAGTAAATAAACTCACCTCGCTAGCTGGCTTTTCATTCTGAACTTCAGTAGTGTCAGTCTTCAGTACGCCTAACCCTTGCCACAATTTTGCTTCCTGTTTTGCATTGTAAGGTTCTGATTTAGAAGAAAAGGGTTTTCTAAAAGACTATAGTCCACAGAACATGCTTTGAGATATTCAGATGAACAATCAGACAGCTTGATTGGGGGCTTCCATCTAAGTCGAGAAATTAAATTTAACATAAGGTACCAGAGAACACTTTTCAGAGGTAATATATAAGAAACTCAGTAATAAGGAAGACAATGTCAGATGACACTTATGATAGCTAATTTGACTTTTAAAACTAAAGGATTTTGGAAACAGAAGTGAGATATTTTAAGTAAGCATTACACAGCTACACAGGTTATGAACTATAATTATGTACTGTCCACCTGATACGAACAAGTTACGTTCCCAGTCAACTCTTTACGGAAAAAGGGCACAGCATTAAAAGTCTTCATTAACAATCGAAAGCAACACACGACAGAGATCGCTCTAAAATACAAATATACTAATATGAGAAGTTGGAATAACTTCAGCTATATGCTTACTAGTGACCCTGCAAAAACTAATTGCTATGATACCATTCTATATAGAGGATGGAAATATGAGAAGTTTAGTCCAAAACGAATGCTTATGTACACCAAAAAGTTCTCAGGTTTTTCCAAACTTCCAGTTAAATTACTTCCCGTGATCACATCAATAGATGAAATTTTAACCATCTTATCATTGCATGTAAACGTTCACTTTAGACTTATTTATGGTAAATAAACTGACACAGTTCTTACACTTCTGGTTTTTATTGTCAGCTAGCTAAGATAATCACTTTGAGCCCTATACCAGTTGGACTTTTTGACCTGAAGGCGGTATTCGACTTCATCCATCTAAAAGTCTTACGACAGTGTCTGTCACCAAAAAAAGCCACTGAAAAAGTGCATTAGTTTGCTAAAGGCTCTGTATTTGAACAATCATGGGCGTATTAGAGACTATGGTGAGATATCAGACAAGTAGTTTACGTTGAGTAGTGTCCATCGATTCCTGCTACTTGAACGTGGTGGTCGAGTTTGCATGTCGCAATGACCCAATGATCTATGCAGATGAGAATCATTCTTTGAGGACCCACAACGCCAAAAAGGTCTGTTGAATAATGGTAAGACAAACAGAAATTATTTTGTGTAAACAGCTATACAACGGTGCCGTCAGAGGAAGAGGTCGTACTGCTGGTTGAAATCACAAAAGACGCTTCCTACGGACGACCAGCATTTCGTTCTGATGCTGCATTATCTTATCAAAAAGATGGATAACAAAATATCAACCTCCAAAATAGCAAAGTACCTTCCTCTAACCAGTCTTCCAATGCCAGCCATCTGAGTTTCCCTAGGCTGAACACGAAAAAATTTCATCAGAAACCTCCTTGAAACACCATATGCTAACCTCATACAGATGACAAACCCCAGATCTATAGGATCACCCTCACTAACCCACTTTATCTTTTGAGTATTTCAGGAAGTTCCGCGGTTTTGGTAGTTAAGAAGCACAGACCACCCCCAGGCATCTGTCACCAACTAAGTTGCCTCAAAACAGCACTGATCTTCCACATCTTTGATTTCTAATCTCTCTTCACAATATGCCTCTTAATAACTTCTCGTCATTTTTAATTTTTCTCAGCTCTGTAGCTAGCAACTGGTAACTATTCCAGTTCACAGAACATCCCCGGTTTCTGAAAACCGTGCTGCAAATCAGATCTAGGAGCTTCCGATATCCATATATTTCGTCAAGTCGAGATTTAAAAATAAGATCAAAAAAGAAACTTCAACAAAACCACAGATCCTGGAGAAGGTCAACAGCCAAATATGATGGACTTTTAAATGATACAACATATTAAACAAACAATTTAATCTTGGTGACCCAAGGAAACATACACATATGAGGTACTGTGAGGTATGAAAGATAGTTCAGCTTCGTCCATTACTTAGTGTGAGAAGGACCGACCGCCAATAAACTTTGATATGAACAGACAGCTTGGTTGAGATAGAGGATAGATGCCTGAAATTCGGAAAATAGTAAGTTAAGTAACATTTTAAAAATGAAAGTATGCAAAATAAGAGATTCTAACTAAAACATCAGACAAAACGTGCAACCTACGAACGATCGCGAAGTTGTGGAGTTGTGAGAAGCAAGCAAAACAAGGAAAAACAGCAATCATAAACGCACCTGGACAGTTTTTCTAGTCTGATTGTTGATACATAAGACAACCAAACTACAAAGGGGCTGCACTGCACCATCCAGTATCTCTTAGATTGTAAATTGGTAGGTTTCATTACCTTCTTTGCTATTTAGTATCCAAGGATTTACCAAAAAGCGACTACAAACACCAAACAGTTAGTCAGTAACATCGTGAGTTTTCTGTTTGATTGACTGCGTTGTACAACATAACCAAGAACCAACTAAATCCAAATGTGCGACTTGGACGACGCTGCAAATCCAGAATAGGGAACAGACTTATATTTACGCAGACGAACACTACGTGAACAAGGGCAGTTGGGAATGAAAGACGCAGCTCTGGCTGATTTCGACTAGAAGAGATGCGAGGACATGAAACTACAATACTAGAAGAGCCACTGAGATATTCACGACTGAAGGACTAGTATTCAAAGCAGAAAACCAATCCATTTTATCCCTACAAGACCATCAGATGTCAACTCATATGCAACGTTAAGAAAAAGTCGAAATTATTAGAAAAACACAACAAAATGGTAGAATTATTATCTTACCGTCATTAAAGGATTACCAAAAGACTACAAAGTCACTATTCAAGTTTAAGGTGACTGTGCGGTTGTTTGATGTAGCTTTGAGTAACTGAAACGATATCGTTTACCAGAGATAAGCTTATGAACAATTTGGATAGTAATTTTCACTAAATCGAATGGGATTACTATCCATATTATCTCCAAGCACCATCTCTTAATTAGGAATTTGTCTAGTGGCTGTATTTCATATTCAGGAGAAAATCATGGACAAGAGGTTTTCACCATGAAATGCCTTTGTGGCAAGCTGCACATACTAAAGTCTGATTAAAACTCCTATATTGACACCCTGAACTGTCATTTCGTAGAAACGAACGTCATAGTGGGCATCAAGTCATAAAGCAGCAAATAAGTAAAAAAATTTTCTTCCTAGCTTCAGTGCTTCCTTACGCCTTACATTTTAAGCCTTGTACTTTGAAGTCAACAGATTACCAGGCATCATATGTCCTGGTTAACTCGCCTGGTTAACTAGTTTACTAGTTACTAGCCGGTCCTAAGCCCGGGTAAAGAGGGAAGGTTGGGCATAGGGCTAGCAACCCTACCCCGTAAAACAAATCTAACCGCTAAAGAAACTTCAAAGCACAAACAAAATATAAAAAATGAAAACAAACTTATTCCCCGCTGGAATCGGAGAGGCGAAATGACGCCAGTTGGTGAAAGCCTTCGGGAAGCCAATTGGCCGATGTGTCTTCTCTCCCTCGATGAAAGCGAAAGTAAACGTGGGGACATGGAATGTCCGCACGATGTTTGAACCCAGTAAGGCAGCCCAGATTGCAAAGGAGATGAGAAGGTATAACATCGAAGTGCTTGGGATTTGCGAAAGCAGATGGAATGGGAGTGGACTCTCCAAACTGTCAACTGGAGAATCAATAATCTACTCCGGTCACCCAGACGCCAACCACGAGCACACTGAGGGAGTGGCTATCATGATGTCCTCAAGAGCATCGAAGGCTCTCATGCAGTGGGAACCAATCTCCTCCAGGATCATGACAGCAAGATTCAACTCAAAAAAAAGAAAGGTCACAATCATACAATGTTATGCACCTACAAATAATGCAGAGCAAGAGAAAAAGGAGGATTTCTACAGACAACTTCAATCAACACTGGACAAGACGTCAGTTGGCGATATCAAAATTCTAATGGGCGACATGAATGCCAAACTGGGAGGGGACAACACGGGAAGAGAACTAACCATGGGTCGAGAGGCGCTAGGTGAAATGAATGAGAATGGAGAATTGTTTGCAGAATTCTGCGCATTCAACGATTTGGTGATTGGAGGCAGTGTGTTCAGGCACAAAGATATCCACAAAGCGACATGGATTTCACCAGATGGACACACTAAAAATCAAATCGACTTTATCTCAATCTCAAGAAAATGGAGACGCAGTCTACTTAACACAAGGTCAAGAAGAGGAGCAGATGTAGGTTCAGACCACTACCTAGTGCAAGGAACCTTCCAAATCAAGTTAAAAGCCTTCAAGGAAGCTGGTGATAGACCTCAATTCAAGTACAACACTCGGAAACTGAAGGATGAAACTACAAAGGAGATCTTCAAGGCAGCCATCAAGACAAAATGGGAGACATCGAGCAACATCCCTGAAGAAACCTGTGTGGAAGAACACTGGAAGTCTTTGAAAGCTATGTGGAAAGAAACCTGCACAACAGTATTAGGAAGGAAGAAGAAAGAAGACAAGGAATGGATCTCGACGGATACCTGGAAGCTGATAGAGGAGAGGAGGATGGTGAAGCAGAAGATAAACCAGTGCAAGGATGCTCAACGACAAGAGGAACTGAGCACAATGTATAAAACACTGGACAAAGAAGTGAAGAAGAGTGCACGCAAAGACAAAAGACACTTCTACGAAACACTGGCAAGTGAAGCAGAACAGGCTGCAGGTAAGAGAGACCTGACGACATTGTATCAAATAACCAGGTTGCTATCAGGGAAGAGACCAACACAGATGAAACCAATAAAAGATGAAGAAGGAAATTTAATTACAAAAGAAGAGAAACAGAGGAAACGATGGGCCGACCACTTCAAGAAGCTCTTGAATCGACCACCACCTGCACTTCGTCCAGAAATACCACCTGCAGCCGCTGAACTACAAGTGAACATTAATCCCCCAACGAAAATGGAAGTCCTGAACGCCATAAAGCTACTGAAATGCGGGAAAGCAGCAGGACCAGATGGAATACCGCCAGAAGCACTGAAAACAGATGCAGAGACAACAGCGGACATGCTCACACCACTATTGCAGAAGGTGTGGAAGGAAGAGAAGGTACCTGACGATTGGAAGAAGGGTTACCTTGTCAAACTGCCGAAGAAGGGAGACCTCAGTGCTTGCAAGAACTGGCGCGGAATCACTCTCCTGTCCACCCCAAGTAAAATATTAAGCCGCATCATCCTGGAGAGGCTTAAGGACGCACTGGATTCAAAACTGCGACCGGAACAGGCAGGCTTCAGGAAGTACAAATCATGTGCAGACCAAATTGCAACGCTTCGTATCATCATAGAACAGAGCATAGAATGGCAATCACCTCTCCACCTCAACTTCATCGACTTTGAGAAGGCCTTTGACAGCGTCGACCGAGAAGTAATTTGGAAACTGCTTCAATACTACGGAGTACCGCAAACCTTTATCCGCCTCATTCAACAACTATATGAAGATGCTACATGCCAAGTAATCCACAATGGGAAGCTCAGTGATGCCTTTGAAGTGAAGACAGGAGTGAAACAAGGTTGCCTACTATCCCCCATGATATTCCTTATTGTGGTGGACTGGATCATGCAGCAAACAGTAGGCAGCGAGAAGAGGGGGATACACTGGACGACGGAAAAGAACCTAGAAGACTTGGATTTCGCCGATGACTTATGCCTAATGTCACATAAACTTGAAGATCTGCAGGCAAAAACTAACAAGTTGATAGAAGAGGCAGCGAAGACGGGACTTCAGGTGAATATAGAGAAGACAGAGATGAAGATACCGCACCACCACCATCAACAACAACAACAAACTCCAATCACCATCAACGGGAGAAACTTAAAGGAAGTAACCTCCTTCACTTATCTAGGAAGCACTGTTTCAACTACAGGCGGGACGGACGAGGACGTCAAAGTCAGAATCGGAAAAGCAAGACAGGCATTCATTAGCCTGAAACCAGTGTGGAGATCTTCTGCACTCAGCATGCGGAACAAGATACGGATTTTCAACACCAACGTCAAGTCAGTGCTCTTGTATGGCTCAGAGACTTGGCGCGTCACGAAAGGTATTTCCAATAAACTACAGACATTCATCAACAACTGCTTACGCTCGCTGCTGAAGATCAGATGGCCAGAAAAAATAAGCAACAAGGAACTCTGGGAACGAACCAACCAAGAACCTATCACGCAACAAATATGCAGGAAGAAGTGGAGATGGATTGGCCATGCACTGAGAAGGCCGACTGAGGACATCACGCGTCAGGCCCTCGAGTGGAATCCCCATGGGAAGCGACGAGTTGGACGTCCGAGGGTGACATGGAGGAGGTCGTGCGAGGAGGAAATGAGAGGTTGTGGGCTGTCATGGGACCAGGTTCAAAAGATCTCAAAGAACAGAGGTCACTGGAGGCGTGCTACTGAAGCCCTATGTTCCACTAGGAACCCAAGGGACTAATAATAATAATAATATGTCCTGAACCTAACGTGTTTGAAATCTTCAAATGAGTATCTTTATCTTGTGCACTTCTACTTCACGCAGGAAAATTTAAAATCAGACACGTCCCTACACAACACTGAGAAACCACACCAGCTGCAAGTTTCCTTCCATGCCTTCATTAAAAAAGACTAGAAAGAAAACACCATTTTCGTACTAATGCTTTCAAGGTCACCTGGTGGTTGTATGGCAGGAATCTTTAGCTCTCCTAGAGAAATTTGAACAATGGACAGTCAAATAACAGGACAAGAATCATTTCCATTAGCGGTTTACGAGTGAGGATTTGTCAAAACCAACTTCCAGATAACAACTTGGTTTTCAAAAACCTATCCTAATATGATATTATTCCATTCTCTTTTTAACAAACACTACAGCCCGTAATTTTGCAGGACTGACTTTTTGAAGGGCAAGAGAATTACTAGTACGTGACCTACCGCTAGTCAGCTACAACCTTCAGTTAAAATAAGATT